TGTGCATGTGGAAAGGGGTCATGAAATGGACAATCAAAATGTCCTTGATATTCAACAATAAAAACATGCAACTACAAGTCTCATAGCTCAAAGCTTTCAAAGTTTTCCACCTTTACAAAACACATTTGAAATCGCCCCAGTCATTGTCACAATTTTCCTCTACACACCCCTCTTTTTAAAATTTTTCTTCAGCATGCCGCTGGTTTTTCTAAATATCTTGTATTCAAAGCCAAGTTATTGCCAAGTATTTAGTCCTCAGATGCCAGTAAGTACATTTATTCATAATCTTCAAGAGTGTTTGGAATAAATGTCAAGCCAATGTTTAACACTGTTAAGAGACCAAGTGTATCATCGTATCATCATTTTCTTAATATATTTAATATATAGTTAATATAATACAATATTAAAGGGGTCCTATTATGCTCTTTTACAAAGTCTTGATTTTGTTTTGGGGGTGTGCTAGAACATGCTCTCATACTAGGTTGTTCGAAAAACACATAATTTTTCACATATTTTACATTATTACAACACCTCTCTCCCCAGTCTGGCATGAACGGCTCGAATAGTTCCTGTATCAAATGAAGGCCTGCCTTCAAAAAGTGAAAAGCATAATAGGACCCCTTTAATATAATATAAATATTCAAACTTTTTGGTGCAAAACATTTACATTTCATAAGCTAACCTTTTAAAACACAAGAAAAAAATCTGAAAATGCATTTCATGACCCCTTTAAAATAGCATGACACATTACACAGCCTCTACTTCTATCCGTTGTTTTGGTTCACATCAAAAAAAAAAAAGATATCTACTCCGATTAATAACAATAAATTCTGTTAAGTTAGTCCTCTGCTTATATTCCCTAGTCATGCTAGGTGCATGAGCGTGGCCTAAAGTAAGCTAGTGCGGCTGTACTGTATGCATAACACTGCGGTCAGGTTGTTAGTCCTGTCAGGGATATTGGCAGACCCAGATCTTCATGACATTCAGAGTTTGAGCGTCCATATGTGATGGATTGCAGGGTAAAGGCCAATGATAAAGGATCCTAACACAAACACACACCTACTGGCTTTGTTCTCTATCTCCTCGGCTCTTCTGTCTGTCATGTGCTATGCTCGATGATCAATAATTAACAGTTTTTGGCTGCTTTCTGGGCTTGACTGTTGTTTTTGTGCCTGAAGGATTGAGCACATCTTTTCCTGCATTCTTGCCATTCTCTGTGTGGAGTCCGCAGCGCCTTCTAGTGTCAGAAATGAGGAGTGCAGAGGCAGTCTGTGCTGTCCCTGGAGCATTTGGAGGAAATGATGAAGCGCGCTACTCAGCTTAGCTTTAGTTTGATCACATTCCGAAGTCTTACATTTGGAAATGAATTGGACTCCATTAAAGCAACATTTCAGGTTAAATACAAATCAGTATCTATCAACAGAATCTGGAGCATGCGTTTTTGTTTTCTGTCAATTTTCTTTAAGCACTTTGTTTAAAACCTACTTTTTAAAAAAAAAAAAAAAACATCTCCTTTTGTTTTTTTAATATGTTGTTTTTGTTGGGGTTGATGAATTTGTTGGCAGTACTTCTGATGGATTAGGTTTTTTGATCACTTGCGACTTGTATTTTTCTAACCTTCTATTCAAACAGTGACCACAACAGTAGAAGCTTCTCAGGTTTTGTTTGATCTGAGTTTTTTGAGTGGTTCTGAACTTTAATTTTTTGTGTCGTGAATCCAGGGAGACAGAAGAGATGCGTTGTGAGTCATTTGAACTTGCGTGTGGCTTTGGAGGGGGTCGTGTCTTTATGTCTCTCCACAGACCTTTAGTTAAGCACCGGTCAACAACTTCAACCCTATGAATCTCTTGTTTTTATAAAGACCGCTGCGGTCAAAGAAAGGCTGACGTGAAAGTGCCCAGTATAGCTATCAAGTCCTGGAGACCTTTCAAAGGGATTCTTCTGTCTAACCTCTTGTTTTAAAGGCAGACTGTGGTAACCAATACAGACCTCCATACCAGTGAAGAAAGGCCCTTTACATGCTGTCGGGAAGATTTTCACTAACTCTTTTACTAAGTCTTCAGTGCGTGTCCATGGACACTGAGTTTTTTAATCCTTGAAATTTTGGTGCAATTAAAAGCAACAGAGAAACTTAAGTTGTTTATATATTGTTTTATTTCAGTCCACATTCACCCCTCAATTGTAGTTGAATTCTAAGGTGGCATCCGGACTGAATTGAAGCCTCATAAGTTGAATAATTTGGAATGCTCTACATAGAAACAGAAGCTACGTAGCTGCTCACATGAAGCTCATGAGCAGTGCAACACCTGGTTAATTCCAGTAGAGTTTGGCATAAGCACATGTTGCTAAGCTAATGTTGCAGTACTTAAATAGAGTGCAACAGTTAGGTTCTGTAGGTAAAAATCCCATTCATTTTCTCCATAGGGAAATTGATTTTTAAAGAGGAGATCAGATGCAAAATTCACTTTTACGTGGTGTTTGAACATAAATTCGCACAAATCATTTGTGATCCAGCTTCACCTACAGAAGTGAGTTTAACTTTTTTTATGAATCCTTGCAAATCGCCTTTCCTAATAATGTGCTAATTAGCAAGTTTCATGATGAATGCGGCTAAAGTTCCTACAGAACTTTACAGTCTAGAGTCAGTTCTACAGTCTAGAGCAGAGGTCCCCAACCACTGGGTCGCGACCCACTACCGGGCCGTGGAAGAATTGCTACCGGGTCGCAAGAACGTTCTGGGAAAAATGTGTATAGATATGACATTCTGTTATTTATTTATGTTAATGATTGTTCTAATTATTCTGTATTTTCTTTGTATGCGATTGATATGGAGTAGCAATTTGACAATTTCATGTTAAATAAGTAAATGAAAGATTGCTCTGATCTGTCACATATTAGGTGTTAAACGGATCGCAGTTGATCCGTAATACGTAGGCCTACAGATGAGACCCTACCGTTTGGCACACACGTGATTCGCAGATTAATTTGCCAATTTACATGTACAAGCAATTTTAAACCACAAGAAGAAGAAGAAACGAAAGAAACTCACGTGCTGTTCTCGCACACAATCAAAGCGCACACAAGAGTCGTGTTTTAGACAGCGCGGAAATACCGAGTTGCATACATAAAATAAGCCTATGTCAAAAACCCTTCACGGCATTGTCATTCTCTGTGCTTTAAATATTTTTTTTTTCTTGCTTATCCGAAAATAGTCCACGGCATTGTCATTCTCTGTGCTTTAAATATTTTTTTTTTCTTGCTTATCCGAAAAAAAATAGTCCGATCTGTGACTCAAAAAAAACTAACAAAAAAACAATATAATGCGTTGAACCACTATATAATGCTATTATAATACTATATAATAGCATAATATATATATGTATGGTGTAAAAAAGGTTGGAGACCCCTGGTCTAGAGAACGGCTCATCACCCCACAGAAGAGAAGGGCGTGCTGAGCAGAGCTGATTAGCATTTAAAGGGACATGCACCAAAACTGGTCGCTGTGAACAGAGCTGTTTTTGACCAGGTAAAAAGAGTGTTGTTTTACACGACCATTGAGAAATTTTAACCAAAGTATGTTATAGACTTTTCACGAAGACCCTAAAGAATCATATCAACTTGTGGAAAATGGGCATTCGATGTCCCCTTTAATGAAAAGCTTTAAAGTTGTTCATCAATGGTATATGCTTTTGTTGAATCCATCAGCCCACATTATTTCAACATTTTAAATAATCTTGTTTAACAGCGGAATTTCTGGTGAGAAACTACATCACCCATTATTCTGCAAAGAAATCACCACCAATCAAAGAATCACAACAAGCAAGTCATGCCAAATAAGAACTCTTTAGCGCCCACACTTCCTTGAAGCACTGTGAATGATGTAAGGAAGTTAGTCTCCCTGTACTTAAATATGTGTATGGAATGATCCGGGGGTCCACGAGTGCCGTGTCCTCCTCCAATTTGGGCCAGGTCGTACATTATTTATGTTAATGTCACAGCACGCCACTGGAAATCTGATACATAAACAAATATTTGCCTCCTAGCGACCGCCCGCCAGAAAGTTGCTAGGAAATCACCAAAATCACTTAACCAGCATATTGTTTCGAGGTGACCTCGAGGGTCAGGGTGTCTCTCAGCTTTTCCTATTCTGATAAGCAGATAAACAACCAAACCACCCAGAAGAAAAGGCTCCAGAGCACTTTTATGTTGAAACAATATGATGTCCGATCAAACGCACACATGCACGTTGGAGCAGTAGCGATGCTGCATGTGAGTTTAAAGCCTGGCTCGCTCTATTGAGATGTTAATGAAGCAGATCTGGCGTGCTTTAAGCGAGGACCACCGCAGGGCCACACAACTATCAGCAACGTCCTGCTAATGCCCTCACATTGTTCCCTTGTACCCTGAGAAAGAAGAGGGGGAGGGCCGACGGCGAGCGCAGCGCTCTGCTTTCAGAAAGGGGGTGGGATGGAGAAATACACTTGGAGAAGAAAGATCAGAACAAGGGAGAGAGAGAGAGAGAGAGAGAGAGAGAGAGAGAGAGAGAGAGAGAGACAGGGCAGAGATGAGGAAGAGACACAGGAAGGAGGGGGGCCGAGAGAACTAAAATCCAGAGCATGAGCCGAGACGGAGCACAGAGGAGAGAGGGAGAGA